TCTTGGTGATGTTAGTCATAGAGCTGCTGAGCTGGACTCAACGTGGCAGACAGGCCTCAAAGGCCACAGCGGACGTTAGCGGGCTCCAGGTGCTCTACCGGTACCGCTGGGCCATTCCTCTGCACCACGACAGTGGATAGGTAAGTTGTGGATAGTCCTTAGCGTAGGCATTGCATGGGTGGGCAGGATTGCTCACGCCCCCCCCACACCCCCCTCTGCCCTGAAATTACCACCACTTTTATTAAAAACAGACCATCCCATCCATCCCATGCCCATCGACTCTTCCCCTCCTCCCCTCCTTCTTCTTCCCTTCCCCCATGACAATTCGATACCTTGTCTTTTAAACATACTTCTTATTCCTCGTCTCAATCGTCTTGCTCTCGCTTCAAGTCGAGCATCGCTTATTATCTTGACCATCTCCAGCTTCATTCATCGGCATCGTCACTAGTGTCTCTACCATTACGCCCTAGTCTATGCCACAATCGTCACCGCCTTCTTCAACCATCTTCTCAGCTGCAGCAATATTTTACTCGCAACTCATCCAGCCTGCGCAGCTCTCACCTACTACGAACCCGGCAACTCTCCTATGTCTGCCGCTCGACTCAACAGAAGGGGACGTTAAAGCACCGCGTACGCGATTGCATATATCGTCGCCGCTGTCGACATTCTCACCACCCGCATCTGCGATTGCATAGACTCGCCGTCCCGTCCCGCCCTAGTGCGGCCATTCCTGGAGACTGACGACCCCCCTCTTTGATCAAACGCTTCCACAGGGCGACCAAACTCTGATCGCGCCACCCCGTGTTCCAACTCCACAATGTCATCGTCGAAGCATCACGTATGTTATGTTGAGGACGCAGAGGAGGATTCTGGCAGCTCTCACGTTGAGGGTATTGAGTCAACCCGTCGCTATGCCGTCTCGGAGGCTCCTGTCAGCTCCTCCTACAAGGAGCGTCCCAACACTGGCAAATCCCGTGGTGACAAGCGGTACTCCAACAACCGGAGATCCGACTCGTCGCCCAGTGATGGTTTAACCGACTCGGATGATTACCCTCGTCGAGAGGAACGCTCACGCCGAAACCCTGACCGTGAGGATCGCAACAAGGAACAACGTCGCAAGGAGCGGAAGCAGAAGGAAGCAGCCGTGCAACAGCAACGAAAGGTCCGCGCCGATACCAAACCACCCAAGGAACGCGAGCCCAAGCCTGTCAGGAAGCAGCGTCCCGCATCTCTCAGTCAGTCCCGGACCGAGCCTGTCGTTCAGCAATACCGCCGAGGCCATGTCGAAGATCCTTCGTGTTACGGCATCCAGCAGCCTGCCGTCACAGGCCGCCCCCGCGCTCAGACCCGTCCCAACAGCTACTATCCTGGCCAGGCCGGCACTCCTCCGATTGCCCACGCCGGCTGGCATCATGCTCAGCACTCTCAGCCGTCCTTCCCTACAGGCTCTTTCCCACCACCACCCGTCTATCCCGGAGCACCGTCTCCTTCTGTAGTCGGCGTGCCACCCTCGCCTGGTTCTCAGCATGGCGGTCCTGGGTTCTTCGACATGCCTTCGCAGGCTGCAAGTGCACACCTCAGGGGTCGCTTTGATCGACCTGCTTCGTCCATTGGCTTCCGCCAGCCACCACCACCGTCCGCCTTTGGATATCCGCCGGAGGAGCCCGAGGAGGAGCCCGATCCTCGCCTCATCAGACGTGCCTCTCGATCCAAGAAGCATCAGCAACAGCAACTTGAAGATGACCGCAGGGCTATGCCACCCCCTGCTGCCATCCCGCGACCCAAGTCGGCATTGCCGCCAACTACTCCGTTCCGGCCACCTCCTCAGCAGATGTTGTCTCGGCAGAAGCCCAGAACTCCTTCGCGGCCTCCGCCTACCACTCGTAGCCGTGTTGGGTTTGCTGATCACCGAGGTTTCGATGACGAGGATCTTGCAAGCAACGCCGATCTGTTCCAAGATATGTCTCCTGAGCCCAACTACAACCATCGCAGCCAAGCCTTGACCCGTACTCGACGTCCCTCTGTCGCCTATGAGCAGCCTGGTGTCGACATCATGCCTGCTCGGCGTCGCAGAGAGTCTTTCTATGGGTCCGGCCCTGACCGTGCCTTGGGCGGTGGAGGCGTGAGCCTTGAGGAGGACAAGTACATGGACGCCTTGCGGTACCAGGACGACATCAACGGTGGACCGGCTATGCCCCTGACTGCTGAGACCCTACGCAAGGCTAGCAACCCTCGCCTCACAGGCGGCAGCAGCCGCTCGACACGGAGCAGGAGCAGTGATAGCCGTGACGAGAGCGAGTACAAGCGAAGCAACACGACTGGTCTCACTCGGTCCTCATCCAGCGATACCGACAACCTCACCATCAAAGTCTCAGGCTCAGCCGTCGTGCGAGTGCCGGGTGCCGAGATCCAGTGCGCTGACGGAGGCGAGATCACCTTTACCAGCCGAAGTGGCGGCTCTCGTGTCGGTAGTGACCGGGCTAGCACCATCTACCAGATCGAGGACGTCAGAGCCCGGCCGGAACAGAAGGCTCTGCCTTACAGGGCTCGCGCCCCCAGTCAGTCAGACTCGCACCGCAACTACGCCCCAAGCCATGCTCCCTACGACCCGACATTTGCCCACGACGACTACATTTACTGATGATTGTTTGTGCTTATGAGAGATGATACGGTTGATGATATCAGCGTGCACTGTTTTGGATTTTGTTTTTGATCTATTTCTATTTTTCTCATTTCTATTTTTCCTCGTGCCTGGACTGTCACAGCAATCGGCAGTGTCCGCCTTTAATCTTGGCCGTCTCTGTGATGGGCCTCTGGCGGACATGGTGTGCTGTGCAGGTCCTCGGTTTCTCATTTGAGCATGGAACTTTTTGTTGAGCCTGTATCCCTATGGTTTTGTTTGTGGGTTGAAGCCCACTCATTGGCCTCATGGCAGGAAAAGTTGATACCCAAAAGCGGTGATGGTGGAAGTACATGGACGGTTGGCATGTTTCTAGGCCTCGTCCTCCTCCACCTCAGTTCGCATATACCAACAGCGCTTATTGAAGGCCGTCCTGTCTTGGAAATCACGTACACTCAAAGGGGTGTCCAAGTTTGGTTCGTGTATTGAAGGATACAAGGATGTCCTATCTATGGGGACGGAAGATTGTCACTTGACTGGAGCTTTACCGACACGTTTATTTGGCGGAAGGTTTGGGGCTTCCTAGTTCATCAAGATGGTCCCCTGTCCCCTGGATTGGACTGGGGTGAGTTTGGAAGTTTGCAGGCTCGCCGGGTTATTTCTTTGGTTTATTGCAGCCGGACTTGGATGCATCCCTGGGGGAAGCTATGTGATCCATAGTACCAGGTGTGGCTAGTGTATCGCATTGTTGAGCATGGCGCAAGAGGAGGAAGTTGACTTGGCTGGACCGCTTATTCCATCCGCGTCACCAGAACGATAGATTGTACGGGCAAAGGAGGTTCGCGCCTTCATCTGCTGCCCTGCAGAGAATAATCATTTGTTACGACTGGCATGACCTACGTTTCGCTTCTCTCTTCTGTTGTTCGCATCACGTGGGAATCTGACTTGAAGGTGTGAACGACAGATGGTCTGCTCAGACCAGTTCCCCTTCCCATGTCTGGTTCTCGGTTTGGGGTACAAAGGTTACGGATTACGGATAAAGGACTAAAAGGAGGCATGGGCTTGGGTAAAGGACATTAGTTTGCATGGACAGGATGGAGGCGACTGGAAAGGAATGTGATTTTCTCAAGCGTGGGTGGCCGCCATGGATTCCCGGGGTTAGGAATGTTTGATGTTAGCATGAAAGTTATATGTTTCGTTGCTCCTTGTCTCAGATACACAAGTCTTACGCACTTGACACACTAGCGATCTGATAATTGTCGTTGATTAATGCACTCTTCTTACAATGCATGAGAGTGATTAGGTTACAGCATTGATCTGTTGGGTCACCTTTTATCCACTGGTCTGTAAGACAGTTACCGATATATCACTCCCAGTCCCATGGTTCAGACTACATGCCGTCATGATCACGATATTGACAGGTCTCTTGGGCTTGCATCAGGGGCTGGACGGGACAGGGGAAGTCTCATGTTCCTGAAGCATGAACAGGGCCAACACTAAACAATGGGGCAAGATTGGGCACATTGATGAGTTTCCAGCCGGACAACATGAGGCTTGTCTCGTGAGTGACACATGTTTCAATGCCGATACAACATCTTTGATCCGTGGGTTGGGCCGGGGTCTCGTCTCGGGTCTCCGGGGATGGGAGCTTTGGAGGGTGCGCGCTTCAAAAAAAAGGGGTGGCTTCAGTAAAACCTATCTTTGGCAGGTGGTGTGGGCCCATTCCGGGCTGAAGTGGAGCGGAGAAGTCGTGGACTGCATTGATTGGACTGGATTGCTCGGGGAGGAGCGCAGTTCGTGGTTGCCGGGTCAGTGAGCGGATTATTTACTTCGACGTCATTTTCCAGAGCTCAAGATGGCTGATTTAGAGACACTTCGATGACCACAGAGCGGATGCAAGAGAGGAACCATTATTCAAACCATTCTTTTCGTGTATCGGGCCATTTATATTGATCGCAAAGCTTAAACTGTGCATTTTTGAAGTATTTTCGAGACTGTTGAGGTAAGTTGAACGTTGACTCGCCAGCCACCTCTTTGGGCACACCCCAGCCACGGGCTTTTCGGGCCTCGTTTCTGGGTTAACCAAGCACAAGCTCTCACACTTTGACTTGCGCGTCACTCTTTCTTTTCACTCCATTTCTCTCCAGAACCACACTCTCAACCAAACCACATCACGACACACAACGACAGCCACTATCGACTCAACAATTCCGTTCAGCTTGGACATTACGACAGCTGCACCTGGGCATATCGCATCACTTTTTGAGCTCGGCTGGGGCTCCAGCGACCTTAGGCCCAGCCCGAACACACATTTGTCTCCGACCGAGACCTTTGCATTCCATCAACAACAATCATCATGGCGCCCGCTCCCATCCGCATTCGTGCGGCCGAGGCTATATCCACCGTCTCGGGCCACCTCCTCGAGGCTTCCAAGGTGCTTCTCGCCCGCGACGACGACAAGAAGGATGACGACAAGAGCGATAGACATAAACCTACCGTCGACCCGGACTCGGGCTCTTTCGACCCTCACAATATCAGCAACGCCGGCTTCTTCTTTCTCTTTGCACTAATCGGTGTCGCCTTCGTCGCTGGTGGTATCTGGTTCTTCTTCTGGGCCAAGAACGGCGGCTTCCACTTCAGAGAAACAGATTGGGATGACTACAAGTCCACTGTTCTTCGCCGAACCGGCCCCAACGGCACAATCCTCTCCAACGCAACACGACCGACAAACCTGGGTGGCGGCAGTGTGTACAAGGACGTGGCAGATGACGACACCCACCTTGATCACAATGATGATGGTCAGACTGTCATTACTGAGGCCACTGGACTGAGCGGAATCACGGCGGGAGCGAGTGACATCTATTCGCGTGAGAAGCGACGTCGCAAGCAGGAGAAGCGTGATCGTGAGCGTGTCAAGAAGGGCAAGAAGCCCAAGCATCGCTTTGTTGGCGAGGACGGTGTCGAGGATGAGGATGCTGAGCGCTCTGCCAAGAAGGAACTTCGAAGCTACCGACATGAGAAGGCTGCTCGTGTGGGCGGTATCAACAAGGAAAGCGAAGGCTCGCAGTGGGATGGATCTACAAACCCTACCGAATCTAACGTCTCTACAACTCTCCTCTCTGACCGCCAGACTACACCTACAACTACACCTACCAAGCCCAGCGGTGGTATCCGCAAGGTCTACTCTGTCGCTGACCGCCGCGCCGACCGTGAGCAGGAGCGCATGCGGGCTGAGGCCCGACGTCTCCGTGAGGCTGGCCGAAATGCGCGCCGAGACTACAACTACCAGCGAGCTGAGAGCTACACCCGCGCCGAGAGCCAGGCTAGCGAGAGTCTTTTGGATGGATCGCAGGTGACTCGCACAACTGGTGACTCGGGTAGCGACCTCGGCACCAAGAGCTACCACCACCCCATGCCTGAGCTCCGAGAGCTGGAGAGGGAGAGGGCCAGGGAGGAGCGCCGTGCCCGCAGGGCGGAACGTGGATACCGACGCAGCCGACAGGAGGAGGTTGACTAAATGAAGGGAGGTTTAAAGAAGGTTAATTTGGGCATTTTTTGTTTTTATTGCACACGACGAGGAAGCATCATGTTGTGTATGATTGTAAGAAATGGGTCACGGACGGCTTGCTTTACGGATACAGAGGTCATCATCATTCATGTCTTGAGATTGTTAGCATTTGAGATAGGCAATGCAGTAAATGAATAAAGGCGTTGGGATTAGATGTGTTTGCGAGTGAACTTGATCCAGTGATATATGGACTATGTATGTATAGAGTATGAGTATCGTGTTTGTGCCTTGTTGATAGGTGGTGACAACTCACCCGGACCCTCGGCCGCATGTAGTTGCCCGTACATGACTTATTTTAGCAAGACCCGAACCCAACAAACCCCTTGAATATCATGTCTAGCTCCAATAGATTCATTGTGTTACGGGTTTCTCTCCCTGCGACCAACATGCAGGACGCGCGCATCAATCCCATCCCTGACAGTCCCTTGTTGCTCCGACAAAGTTTCTCATGTCTCACCTGTTTACATTGAAGATTGCAGCTGTCTCAGCGGGCTCTAATTGAGATGTGCAACAAAAATCCCCATCATCATGCAAAGTGAAGCGCGTATCGCCAGAAGGAAAAGCTGAAAATAGTTATGCGGCGCTAGCTTGGAAAAGATGAAACCTGGGGCGCCTCAGCTGGAGCGTGTAGCCGCCGGGCCGAGAGGGAACGACGGCCAGTTGTTTATTTTGTTTGCTGTGGTGTGTAAGGGGATGATGTTGCAGGATGCAGAGCGAGCTTATTGTTAATATTGCAAGGGGGAAAGTATTGTAAAGGGGGAATTAATATTGGAGGTTTTGTTGGTGTTGGTGGTTTATGTGAATGACGACGTCACGGGTTTTTGTTCCATGTCACGCCCTGCCTCATTCAGGCTTTTTCAAATGCCCCTTCCCCTTCCAGGATCCCGTCTTTCAAATCGAAAGAAGGGGTCGCTTAGCCAATCCTTGACCGAGTGGTCCCCCGTCCAAGGACCAGCCACTTTGATCGTCCTGCTCAGCCTTGGGGCGATCCGGACATTTCGGGCGCACGTAGGAAGAAATACCTAGATCCCCCACATGAAGCGTTAAGATTTATGCATCTGAATGTAGGCTGACGCTAACATGATGCAAAGTACCTCCCTGCCCGCTCCCGCCGGTTCCGTCAGAAACCCCTCCAGAGGGACTGCGGGCGGGTCCCATCTTCGCCGGAAGCCCAAGAAAAGCCACTGGCCGCATCCGCTATCCACTGGAGTCGGGTTCCACTGACAGGAACCGTCCACCCACTGGAATCGTCACCACCGGCGTCAGCATCAGCAAGGGCCCGGTCAGCGGCCGGGACGAACGAGGTTTTGCTGACAGGCACAACAACAGGCACAACAGAGGTTTATTTTGTGTCTTACTTGGTCAACATACTCATCTTTATCAATCAACACCTTCTACTTCTATTCCCCTTCCTTCCGTCCATCTAACCATCACTGTCGTGTGCCTAGGCCCCTGCCTGTTCCAAGGACTTTCCTATCTGTGAGGTGTGGCGACATCGCGTGGGCCAAGGCCCGAGCCTCCATCCTCCTCCTCCTCCTCCTCCTCCGGGCTTCTTCTGCTTCTCCTCCACATCCAGATCCCACCAACCAACCACCAACCACCCTCTCTCCCATCGCCTCTCGTCATTTCTCCTCCTTCCCTTCCTCACCTTTCTCGTACTTTGTTTTTCCTCGCCTCGACCATCATTTTATTCTCCTTTTTCGGCGCTTCCTTTTTCCTCTTGCGTTTCTCGTTGCGACCAGCGTCTCCCTCCCTCGCCGCGCGATTGATTCTTGGATGCACCATTCGCGGCGGTGACGCCGTCCGCCAAGAGTCGTGACTTGATTGTTCTCCCGTATCCGACCGGCCGACCGATTGCCCCGACGAATACGATACGACTCGAAGCAAACGCACGCAATTCCTCGTCCTTTCAACAAATCAACCTAGAGAAAAGAGAGACCTCTTTTCCCTCCGACGGAAGCCCATCATGGGGTTATCTTCCTCCCCCTCGTCAGCCTTTACAGGCGTCGTCATCGGCCTCGTGTCATCATTTGGCTCCATCGTCCTTATCGCCCTCGTCATCTTCATCTTCTGGGTTTCGGGCTGCGCAAGCACTGGTCGTATCATACTCGATCGCCTCGGTCGACCCGGCGAGTATGATGATGAGCAAGCATTCGCGCGTGATGAGGCTGAGGCCCTCGAGGTCATGGATGACATGGCTCGCCAGGAGTATCTACGAGCAAAGGGTAGGTCGCTGGGTTCTCTGCCCTCTCCGGGGCCTTGCACGTCCCCTCAAACGCTATCTCTTACTGACGCGTGTACGCCGCACCAGCCTGGGTTACTGCCAACACTCCAGAGTCTGCGCAGACAGACATCTCGTTATCGCAATATCTCGCCATCCAGGAAAAGGGCGTCTCCGCCTGGGAGTTTGAGCCTGAGCTCGAGATCGCCAACTGCTTTGTCGAAGCCCGCACTGAGATTGAGTTTTTTGATTCGGAATGCACCGTCATGAGCAATCTCCCCGTCCCAAAGCAAAACGACGTCTACTACTGGGAGGCCAAGATATACGAGAAGCCCGAGACCACCCTCCTCAGCATCGGCATGGCCACCAAGCCTTATCCTCTCTTCCGGTTACCTGGTGAGTGCCTGTCATACCTCTTGTCCTCCTCATGCCGCCGTCACCTGCTTACTCTCGTTTCCCAGGATACCACAAGTACTCGGTTGGGTACCAGTCTACCGGAACCCGTCGCTACAACCAGCCCTTTGGCGCGACTCCCTACGGTCCCCAGCTGGTGCAGGGCGACGTCGTCGGTGTGGGCTACCGCCCTCGAACAGGTGCCATTTTCTTTACTCGCAACGGCAAGAAGCTCGAGGAGGTGGTTCACGGTCTCAAGTCGCAGAACTTCTTCCCCGCTATTGGCGCCAACGGTCCTGCTATGATCCACGTCAACTTTGGTCAGGCCGGTTTCGTCTTTATCGAGGCCAATGTCAAGAAATGGGGTCTGGCTCCCGCCACCGGTAGCCTCGCGCCGCCGCCGCCGTACGGATCTGAGCAGGGTAGTATTCTGTTGGAAACGGGCACCGACAGCGGCGCCACATATCCTCAAGGTCGACAACATAGCCACTCGGTCACAGCATGCTCCTATAACACACGCCCTCCTACAAGCAACCTGAACCCCCAGCACGGGAGAACACGAAGTGGCAACTTCCGCGTTCTTCCCCCGACGAGCCCCGGACCAGGCAGGAGTTCAACCGATATCTCACTGGCGCACTTTGTACCCAACGAAGAGAACGGCGAAGGCAGCAACCCCGGACCTCAGCACGAGACCCACGATCACAACCCCCTCCACCTACATCTTGAAGACGCAACGAACCCCCCACCCGAATATCAGAGCCCCGACCATTCCGGCAGTGAAGACGGTCGCCGATATAGCACAGACAGTGAGGAGAACACTCCTTTGATCCGAGTTATGAATCGAAGCAGGGGCAACTCTGCTGCCACTGTGATTCCCCCACGACAATATACCAACGATCGAAACCCGCCAGTTCCGAGCTACAGCGATGCCTTACGACAAGGTGCTGGCCGTGACAGAAGCGATAGTGCGCGGTTACCCCAGCGAGATCGACCGTCATCCAATAGGCCTCGAAGCAGTACGTCTGCTTGAGTGTGAGGGTGACGCTGGTGATCCCGATGCGACTGGATATCGCTGGCTGAAACGGCAGCCGTAGCAACATTGAAGATGAAACGATGATGCCCGGGAAGAGAGAGATTGGCATCAACGACCATGACACCGGAGTTGACAGGAACAAATCACCATACACGATCCATTTCAATCCTTTTTTTTTGCAGAGGCGCCTGGGAGTTTTTAGCATCGGTGAACACACGGCATGGGAGAGTCTTCCATAGCCGTTTAAACGCCCTTTTTCTTTTTTTTTGTATTTTGTTAGACGGAGGAAACTTGGTCCCGTCTTGGGAAGCTCGGCTGGATACGAACAAACACTTATTTGGGCCTGAACGGGAATAGTGATACCAACAAACAACAACAACCTGACGGACTTGCGCGCGCTCATTTTTTTCTTGTCACGGTTTCTGCTTTTTTTTTTTTTTGCGCCGCCCTCTTGTCTCATTTTCCCCCTTCGGTTTCTAACTATAGGACCGCTTCAAGGGGATGGCTAGGTGTCTGGATGAGGAGTTGTTTCGCTGCTGGCTTTCTGGTGGTGGTGTTGGTTCTGACGCCTTGGATGTGGTGCGTTTGTGTACCAACAGAAGGAAAGAGACGGAGTTGATGGGGTCTGAATTAGCCACGGCTTGAATACAAACTCACCTATCCTACCGCAATCTCTGGTTGCTTTATTGTGATAACGACTGTCTAGTAAAAAGCCTATGAAGTGGATTGTCTTGACCAAGGTTCACAAGGTTTCTTATGGTCTCTCCTTAGCATCGCCGAACCCGCAACATTATCGCTACACCTTCATCCCAAGACGGGACGATAAGACATGCCGGCAACCCAGTAGCTTGCCCCTTGTCAGACTTTTGGATAATTCCATACAAGAGGAAAGTCTTTCGTCCCAAGTCAGAGAGCATGGCCGGTCACAATCATCTCGCACAACCTGTCACCAAAGTCCAAGCCACTTCACCTCGACATGTCTGATACAACGCTCTACCTCATGGAGGCGTGAGCATTGTGCTCACTTTAAAGTTCGAGGTACGACCATGACCCCTCAGCCCAGGTACAAGGCAGTGTCAAGAGGGCGTCACCAAGGCTCTACCCCACCTCCAACCGTCTTCCATTCACACATGTCACTCAGGGTCACTTCATCAGGCTTCATCAGGAACAATTTTGTGGCGCGCAATCAGTCGATCGTCAATTAATCTCCCGGCAGATCGTCCTCGAACCGCCATCAGACTTCCAAGTCTTCCTCAGCAGTTCAAAATTCCAGGCGCTAGAAAAAAAAGCAATGCAACAACAGTCTATCCTTATCCTCGCGTGATATCTCTCGCGTATGTCATCCTCCTCGTTCCAAAGCATACATATATCCCATGGCATCTTTCGTAGAGCCAATTGGTCCCAACATCCGAAATCAGATAAAATCATTGCAAAAAACATCAAAAATATGCTTCTGTCCCGTAGTATCCCTTCGCTGCCGTCAACTCTGCGAAGAGTCAAATCCGGCGCGGCAAAACAAAGCATAATCCAAAAAAAATCAAGCAATATCAGTAAACGCAAAACATTATCAAGTGCGCCGAGCAAATGCTTTCCCATATCAAATCAAAGCAAAACAAAAAACTCCCATCAACACCAAGCTTTTTGAGCGCGTTTAAAAACACAAACAACAGTCGCTATGCATTTTGGATACGGTGCTTCCGTCACCGTTGGCGGAGTCCGTAAGGAGTGAATTCTATAACCGATGAAGTCGTCATTAAGTCGTCAGGAAGGAGTGTCTATCGGGTATCATTGGTGGTGGTGTTCAAGAAGGAGTGTCGTTTCTTTGCTGGGTATCGTAAGGACCGTGAAATAGGTAGTGGTACAGCACATGATAGTGCGATTTTCGTTCGTTGTAGGGAGCGTAATCTAATCTTGTGTCTCAAGGAGCGTCGTAAGGATCTCTCAAGAAAATCCAGTTGGTTGTGGTTGTGGTAGCGAGCGTCGAAGGAACGTGGTATACATGGCGTCTGCGTCGATTTCGAAAAAGCAGCGAGCGGGATCAAACATAAAGTCAAAACAAAATCGACGGCGAATTGGTTGAAGCGATTGGAGAGAGAATTGGATGGTCAGCCGAGAAACATCAAGTCGCTCGGCGTCGGGCGTTGTCTTCGTAGCTGTGCATCAGGGGGGCCTGCACAAGGGGCGACGGCGGGTGCGGAGCCGAAGACATCGAAGAGGTGTGGCGGTGTCGGGGGAGCGGCGTGCTCGAGTTGACAGGAGACTCGGGGAGTGGAAGCATGCCGAACTGATCCGAGCTGAGGTACGGAGACGGAGCGCTCGTCAGCGAGGCCATGTAGGGAGATGGGTCCTCCGGAGGCGGGTATGTTGGTGTGGTGTTCATCCTGGGTGGAAACGGTCAATCCCCTATTCTTATTCGCGCAAAAGACCCGGTGGCCGCCTCGAGGAGCCTAAATCCACACGGTCTGGACAGGAGTGACGAACCCGACGCCATAGTTGTGAGGAGAATCGTGCATCGTGGGAGGCCCGCCTTGCAGGGCGTTCATGTCCCAGGTGCTGTATTCCTCGGTATCGCTGTACGCAACGGAACCCTCAAAGGTGGACGAAGCTGGACTGTAGGCTCCCGTGTACGCTGGAGACGGAACATTGAGGTACTGCTGCGCTGGGTACGGCGACGAGAGAACCAGAGGGCTCACCGACGACGGTGGTGGTCCAGACGCATTGAGCATTGGCATCTCCTCAGTGCTGTAGCTGAAGGCAGGGTTCCCATACAGGTACTCGTTGCTCGGCATCTCCTCTTGAACAGTGAAGTTGGGAGGGTTGAACTGCGGGAACGACGGAGTCCTCTCCGGGTGCAGCCAGCCCATTCGTGATCGGAACTCACTGATAGTGTCAATGGGGAACTCCATGAGCGTGAGAGGCGTCTGGAGTTCGCCCCTGGCACCAGAGACATTGATGGACATGAGACGCCGAGCAATTTCCTCAACAGGAGAGATGGACAGACTGCCAAAGTAGGCAGCACCAATCTCAGGGAAGAGTCGCTCCATGAGGAGGGCCACAGTGTACAGATGAGCAATGACGACCAGCGAGTTGGGAGAGCCATGGTAGTTCTGCAGATAGTTCACGGGCATCCAGAAGAGCCAGGTCCGAAGCGGCCGGAGCCTCTCAAACTGCTGGGCAATCGAGAGCGTGGGGCTGATCTTGCGAGAACCACGGAGGAAGCCAATGAGATGCTGGATCTGAGTGGTGTCCTCCTTGTGGTGCTTGAGATGAGCCTCCACCTTTTGAACCTGCTCGAGCGTGCGCTGGAAAGCCTCAAGATCCTCGGGTCGCGGCTGGCTGGGACGATGGTCCTGTCCAGGGGAGGGCGGAGCCGTGGGAAAGGTGCTGCTCTCGGCGATGAAGTCTCCAAACTGGGATTCGTGTTTCCAAGCGTCCATTGCGTCGATCACCTGCAAGCAAGTCAGAGCTGTTTCGGGTTATTTTGAGGTTTTGTTACTCACCGAGGAGGTGCCCTGCATCAGCTGTGTCCAGCTGCGCCTAATCATGGTGTGAGCCGCCGTCACAAACTGCAGGATCTACAATACTTACCAGTCGGTGGCTTGCCAGGAGAGCACAAGAGACGCAGCCAAGATGGCGTCGGACGTCTCTCGAGAAAAGGAGCCAATGGCCTCCTGCAGACCCTTGAGAGCAATGCCTCGATGTTCATATGCCAGGCTGCCGACCAGAGGGCAGTCGGTGAGGAAAGCAATATGCATGGCGGAAAAGGCGAGCAGCGCATGCATCACGTAGGGGGTTGTGGCGCCGATTCGGAGGAGACTAGACCAATGTTAGCATCCATCAACGCATGATCCAGATCTGTGCGACCTACGTTGGGATGTGGCGAGTCCAGAGGGTGAAGTTATTCGCATCGATGGTGGCCAGCTGGTAGTACAGAGTGGCGACGTGGTAAATCAATCGGAGGTCTTCGAGCGAATAGAGATGAGGCATGGGAGCCGGATACAGACCAAGGCTCGGGAGCGGGAAGATTCCCGTCCTCTGCCACTCGGCGATGGCGGCTTCGATCTGGGGCGTCCACATGAGGTCGGGCTTGTCGGGAGTGGTAGATCGCTCAGCATCGGGAACCTGCACATCGTTGTACGGGCATCGGATCTTGTGCTTGGTGCAGTTGCGACTACGGTATGATCAGCAAGGGAGGCTGCATCGAGATGCCGTTTTTGAACCAACTCACCATTGAGGGAAGTTCTCGTCACAGCGGATGTGTCGGCGTTTGCTGCAGAGAAGCCGTTAGGGTGAAACTGTGCAGAACCATATTTCCACATCAATGAAGCTTACCAGGTGTCACAGCCCTTGCGGGACTTGGTGTGGCTGCGGCGAGGAGGACCACCACCGGGACCAGCCATTGTGAAAGTGATAAAGGTGAAAGTGTAGCGAAAGACCTGTCGAGGTTGTAAGAAACAACACGGTCACTCAAAATGGGAGTCAAGAGACGTACGCGGTGTCCACAAAGGCAAGCCTGTGGACGGGTAGCGAGCGTTGGAGAGACAAGGGCGCAATTGGCGATCTACCCAGTCAAGTTGCTTCTGGAAACCGACTTGAGGCAATCAAGTCAAGGGTATTCCGGAGAAGAGATCTGCGAAGATCGACACACTCAGGGAAGAATGGACAGCAGTTCGAGAGCTGGTGGACTTGATGAGCTGGGCTCAGGTGCAAGTCAAGGAACCAGGCTGATACGGAAGCAATTCCAAGTTTCTAGCGTGACTGGAATGCTCGAGGAGCTCTACGAAGCTGCGGCGATCTCGGCTAGATGAGCTGGATAGGGAATCTCAAAAAACTCGGTATCGTAGTCTGTCAGGTTGCCCGTGTCCAAGTCTTCCTTCTTGTCCGTGATTGGTGGTAGCGATCGAATGGTTGGTGGTTTTGTTTGATTTTCTTTCCTTTTCAAGACAGCTTGATGCGGATTCAGGGAAGCGAGCGTAGATATGCAGAGACAAAGATATCAACTACACGCGGGGCCGAGGGCGAGTGCGAGCCGGGGGTGATGAGGGCTGCAGATTTTGGAGAGCTCGTATTACTTGGAGATGAGACGGCAATCCGTTTGGCAGGTCAAGTTCGGGGCCAGGGTGTGCGTTTTAGCGTGGTTCTTGTCCTTATCTGGTCGATTGGTCTTTGCCCAGAGCGATTGTTCCTTTGTTAACGATCCACAGCGGGAAGCGACTGAATACCCCGAGATATTGGGGAAAAGGTATCGTTGGTTGAAAAGAAGAAGAAGGGGTCGTTAGATCCTAAAGCACCAGTAAAAAAAGCGAGTGACAGGAGTCGACGAGGACTTCCTAAGAGAGTTGGGGGAGGTGAGGAGGGAGGAAAGCGAACGTGTTGTTGGTTTGGAGAGACGTTGATGATGGTTGATGGAGTTGACCAAAAAGGAATCGAAGAGGGGATCCGGGAAGGAGCTGGGGAGGGCGGCTTTGTTAAATACAAGCAGGCACCGGGGAGGAGCGGCCGGGGGAGGAGCAACCGGGGGGGTAAGAGTGGGAGTGTGAGTGTGAGGATGCGGATGTGGATGTGGATGTGGTGCCGGGGAGTGGGAAGGAACCTTGGGAGGAAGGCTGTGTAAGGTCAGGCAGGTACGTTTTCTGTGTGCCAGAGTAAGAGGGTGCCATGTGCGTGCTTGGGGGGCAGACAAGTGTGTGAGCAGGTGCCAGGCAAGACCCAAAAAGAGATACCCGACGGCACACCCACCAGAAGCACCACCACCTCCTCTTCTTCCTACAGCGTCAATCCAAAGCAAAGCGTGAGAATGAGCCCGGGGAGTGTCAAGACCAGAGGCTGGCATGGCATGGCAGGCGAGCTCGGGCTAGCTAGGGCCAAGGTCACTTGTGGATTGTGGAGTGCGGGCTCCGGGACTACGGCAGCGGCAGCAATGGATGGATCCCCCATGAATCGGACGCTGACCCATGGCCCATGGCCGTGAACCCCGAGTGAGCAAAGCAGAGAAGAGAAGAGCACGTCTGTATCATTGTTCCGCGTTGGGCCACAGAAGGAGAACAAGCACGCTAGGATGGGGGGGCGTGCCCGGTGCCACAGGTACAACAGGGGGGGGCGCTCTGTAGCCTCATCAGAAAGGGCCGTTGTCTCCAAAAGGTCCCTTGGGCTGGGCATCTGTCATAGTAGTCGACCATCCCCGTCCCCATCCATCCTCCACCCATGCGTGCGGGTTTGCTGGGAATGGGGACGGACGGTATGGGTGTGTCGGTTCATCACAGACCATAACCTTAGTAACAGCCCAGGCCAGGACAGGATGGGGAGGGAGGGGGTGCGTAAGGATTCTGATTCTGGCCTGGCAGTAGCTCAGCCAAGCTAAGCGGGCATGTTAACGTCGTCGGGGAACGGATCAGTTTGGAGATGGATGCTACTGCTTGCTACTGTACGGCTCCCGCAAGCCAAGGCAAGGTAAGGCAAGGTAGGACGGATCCATACCTGAGGATAGCATCGATCCATACCGTGCCCTCTGCTGTGTGCTATTTTGGGGAGCAGAAGATTGGAGATGAGCTATTGGGCAGCCGGGCTGGCTTGCTGGCTGGCTTGTGCTCTGCTGGCTCGTTGTCTGGTTCTACAGGACCACCGAGACGGTAATGCTTGGACTGGACGTGGACGGACGGCATGATGAGGGCCGGATGTGGGCTGTCCTCCGCTTCTTCTGTCCACCGCCGCTCCAGCCGGTGGGTGGTTGTGGTGGTGGCGGGAAGGAAAACCAGCCCAGCCCAGCCCAGCCCAGCCCTGGCCAAGAGGGGAGGGGAACAAGGTAAATGCAAATGCAAATACAGAGGACTACAGTAGGAGACAGTGGCGGGCGGGCAACCTCCAGAGCCTGTTTAGAGCCATCTCCAGTGGGCTGGGTTGGGGCGACAGGACGGGAGGGTCAGCGGACAGGCCGGCATCTGCAGCAAACAGCAGACTGACTGACCAGAGAGAGCCATGGCCATGAGACGCGGGAGCAGAAGCAAAAAAGCGGCGGCCGAGGTAACCTCTAGGTGGAGGGCATGACGCACATGGCTAGGGCCAAGGGGGATGGATCCAAATGTCATGGATGAATGATAGTGCCCGTTTCTGTTCTGCGACCGCCGGGGGGACCAGAGTCACAGAAGCTGAGAGTTGAAGAGAAAGCATTGGTAAAAACTGCGAGTGAAGTGAAGCGAATGGAAGCCAAGCAAGCCAAGCCCACGACAAGACGGGCAGGCAGTCAGCGAACAGGCAAAGCAAAGCAAAGCAAAGCAGAGCTGCTGCAGCTGCTGCTGCTGCGAGCGGGTGGGTGACAAAAACCCTACGTAACTGAGTAAAAATAACTTTTCGAGTCCGTGCTCGTTCTTCCATCCTAGGGTCGTCAGGTTGTGGTCGTTGTCGTCAAAAGCCGCCCGCTCCTTTTGCTCCAACACGGTTCAGCGAGGGCCTTAGTAAGGCAGGCTGGCTGGTCGGGTTCACGGCTCACTGCGGCCTTCCGACCCTTCTATTCGTCCGTCGGCCGCGGGGTCCGACATTTTCTGGTAGATGATTGGACCGTGGTTCGCCGAATGGCCAAGAGGGCGCTGTTGGCGGGCTCTGTCGGCGGCGGTGGAGGGACGGTGGGCGGTGGGGATGCGTCACGGACGGACAAACCGGGGCCGGTAGTTGAGCTTGAGGCCATGGAGGCCAGGCCCTTGACCCTTGAGGTCTCTCCAGGCCAGCCTCATCGTCCAATGCCTCAGGCGGTCCAAGGCTAAGGCTGGGGTTCACTGCACCGCATCGCATCGCATAGCGTCCAATCCCTCCAAGCGCCATCTCACAGTGGCGGGATCGCTCCAGAAGCGGCGCAGAAGAGAGATGTGAGGCTTGATTTGAGATGGAGATATGGAGAAGGCGCATCTAAAAAAGGCACTGCCCTAACTGCAGCTGGTAAAGTCGTGGACGAGAGACGCTGGAACGTTACCTATGGCCCACCGTCATGGCCGCCTGAATGCTTCTAGTTCAGGGCCCTTCGAGGCTTTGGTTCGCTTTCCCAGCGCTTTGGTCTGCGCTGCTTTGCGTCGCCTTGCCTTACCTCGCAGCTGAGACATAGAACAAATGGCCACTCAGACAGCTCGAAGGGCAAATGGCCTCAAGTTTGCACCCGCCGTGCCGTGTAGCGCAGCCCAGCGTAGCCCAGCGCATTGATCATTATTAGCAGCATCATGACATCCGTCCATTCCATCCTTCCATCGCTGACGGCCTTCCTTGACTCGACTTCTGCATCCTGGCCCCAAGGTAGCAGTAGCAGTAGCTGTACAGCAGCATCAAAGAGGGCTATGCTCGTTCCCTTCTCGGGCCTGTCCATCTGTCTCATCCATCCTTCTGGGAGCGTCATCATTCCTCATCACTCATCACCCTTTCCCTTGTCACCCCCTCTCCACTCTCCCATCAGCACTTCTCTGTCCAACCCTACCAAGACGGCTGGGTTGTCTGTGACGTTGGCCTCGACGTGACTGAACGGGACAACTTCGGGTGCGCTAAGCAGTACTGTACTGTACAGTAGATCGTTCGCCCGCCTCAGCCTGCCCTTGCCCTGGTCAACTCTGTGAGGGCTTCCATCTGAATGTACGGAGTAATGTCTTCGACACACCCAACCTTCCTGGTCCTGGTGCTGTGCCACGGCCGACCGGGTCCCCGGGCCTTTGGCGGCCGGGGTGTGTGCCGCGAGGCTCCAGCTAACACCTCGTAGGGCAGAAGACAGAGAAGGGAGCATGGAGCGCAAGGAGGGTCGTTGGTCAGGAAAGTATGCTCTCCACCATCATGGTGAGGCTATCTCCAACCGCGACATCGGCCATGACACAACGTTAATAGCGGCGCTCTTTTCTTTTTGGCGGTATCTCTCATCCCTGCGTGTGCCATGCCTGCAGTCTGCACGCAACTTGACTGGGCGACGAGGTTGGTCACTGGCATTTCAGCACGGATGATCGGGGACAGCTGCAAATCATCTGATGCTAGGACGGGTTTTGCTCCCCATGATCATGATTCCCCCAACCTCGACGGGCCTATTCCTATTCCCCTCCTCGCTTGGTCTCCCTCCGTCTCCTCTTGCCCCTTCGGACTCGTGTTCCCGAGCATGGGAATTGATACTACCGTGGTGTCCGTGCTAACGGCCCAGATCCAACCACCAACCTTGAGGGTTTTCGCATTCGGGGTCAGCGGTCGGGGGGAATGGTAATATTATGTCTGCCATACCTCGGCGTCTTCCTCATTTGCTCGCTTTTTTTTTTGCCCAGCACCCTTGCTCTGGACATGACATGGAGGTGACAGTTATGCCCGTTTATGGCAAGCGAATTGAGCTGTCACAGGATGCCTCAGTGTGCCAGAGGTGAATAGCGCAACAAAAGTATCGAAATCGAAC